TGTCTCCAGAAGAGCCACCCTATAAGCTTAATATATCTCTTACTGTGTCCATACAAAATGACTAGAAATATTATTAAGAGGTAAATTTAAGGTTATTGTTTAAATGGACATGGACTATGGAAAGGAGAAATACACCCTTAGATGAAATTCCCCCATTGAGCGGATCTCCTAGCAGAATTAGATCTTTGTCTTAGAAGAGCTTCCCTGGAAGGAAGGGTTTTACAAATGTTGATTGTGCTATCTCACCTGTGTGTAATTGCTACCCCAAATGCTTGGCGACTGGGCTTTATAGCTAAGGCTGTGAGATGAGCATGGAAGAGACTGAAATATGAGGCAGAGTGAAGCTAGCATGAGGACAGTAGGAGATGGGAATGAGGGGCAGGAGAAAACTGGAATGGGGCATCCAGTGAGACTGGAATAGGCGCGCAGGGAAAGTGGAATAAACGGCGGGACCAAGATCAGAATAAATGGCAACTGAGCACTAATCAGCCTGACCTCCATTCCTTTCATGCATCTGGTGGTAGCTGTAGGACAGATTGGGGAAGTGGCTCAGAGACACTAAACGCATGTGGTGAGCGCCCACACATTTTGTGAACACACAGTAGGCCAAATAAGTTGGGGAACCTCTGCAGAGGGAGGTCAGAGATTCATATACTCTAATGTTAAAAATAAATTCTTAACACAAAAATTTCTTGTGTGTGTTGTTCAAGTATACATCACATTCTACTTTAGGTTAGGTACAGACTTTTGAACAATATTATTAGAAGACTGAAATAAGTGTACATAGGTGTCAATACTGCTGGTATTAATATTATATAGAAACAATTCTTTTGGCAAAGTTTGTTCTCCATTTGCAGTAATATTTTCCAGATAAGGAAGTCAAGTAACATTTTAGATGTGTTTTTGGAGCTCTCATTTAGAAATTCAGATATAGCATGTATGAAAACAAACCTTTTAAAAAGTATCTCAGTGCAACTGAGTCATTAAAATAAATACATAGCACAGCAGGTAGGGCGTCTGCCTTGCACACAGCCAACATGGCCGACTCGAGTTCGATTCCTCCACCCCTCTTGGAGAGCCCAGCAAGCTACCGAGAGTATTCGATATGCCAGACACAGTAACAACAAAGTCTCCAATGGAGACGTTACTGGGCCCGCTCGAGCAAATCGATGATCAATGGGAGGGCCTTTACTTTACTTTACTTTAAAATAAATACATTACGCCTCCCCCAGATGGAACCCCGGTGACCAGAAGCCTCTACAAACACAGCTCGAGTATGCGGGAACTAGGACTTTTTCTCAAATCTGCCGGACTACAGCTCCCAGGTAACCTCTGATTCCGGAAGTCACTCCCACAGCCCGCCCCCCAGCGCCATCTTTGCAGCATTCAGCCTAAGAGAAGGACCACATGGAGGGTGCGGGAACCACAGATCCCGGAGGGGGAAAAAAAAAAACAGGTTCCAAAAAGAGCCGAGATCACCGGCAAGTCCCAGATGGGGTAGGTGCCGCATCCCGCCTCCCCCAGATGGAACCCCGGTGACCAGAAGCCTCTACAAACACAGCTTGAGTATGCGGGAACTAGGACTTTTTCTCAAAACCGCACGGCCGCTTACGCGGCCGCACGACATCTCTCTATATACAAAGTGATCAATGGGAAGTAAACCACCCAATCTTTCTCCCTGAAAATCAGAGTTAATTTTGGACCACGGCCACAGCCCCAGAAACACAAGGACTTAATGCAGAACCCAGCAGCTTGGAGCAGAAAAGTGAACGGACTATGCGTTAATCCAGGCCATCATTTCTGCACAGAGGGGAAAGGGTGTTGCCCCATTCGCCCTCTCTTCTCTGGAAAGAAGGATGGCGACCGCATGGGAGCCTTGTGGACAGCAGGTATGAGCCGGGGGTGTGGGGGCGACTAAAACCTCATGGGAAGGGGGGCGTTCCGATCAGTCCTTCACGCCCTACCAAGGTCACCAGTTGCCCCCCACGAGCGGCTCTCCAGCACGGCCACAGCCCCAGAAGCACAAGGACTTAATGCAGAACCCAGCAGCTTGGAGCAGAAAAGTGAACGGACAATGCGTTAATCCAGGCCATCAAGTCTGCCGGAGGGGAAAGGGTGTTGCCCCATTTGCCCTCTCCTCTCTGGAAAGAAAGATGGCGGCCGCATGGGAGCCTTGTGTACAGCAGGTATGGGCCGGGGGTGTGGAGGTGACTAGAACCTCATGGGAAGGGGGGGCGTTCCGGTCAGTCCTTCACGCCCTACCGAGGTCACCAGTTACCCCCCACGAGCGGCTCTCCAGCACGGCCACAGCCCCAGAAGCACAAGGACTTAATGCAGAACCCAGCAGCTTGGAGCAGAAAAGTGAAAGGACTATGCGTTAATCCAGGCAATCATGTCTGCCCAGAGGGGAAAGGGTGTTGCTCCCTTCCGCCCTCCTCCCTCTGGAAAGAAAGATGGCGGCCACATGGGAGCCTTGTGGACAGCAGGTATGAGCCAGGGGCGTGGGGGCGACTAAAACCTCATGGGTCGGGGGGCATTCTGGTCCGTCCTTCACGCCCTACCGAGGTTACCAGTCGCCCCCCGCGAGCGGCTCTCCAGCACAGCCACGGCCCCAGAAGCACAAGGACTTAATGCAGAACCCGGCAGCTTGGAGCAGAAAAGTGAACGGACTATGCGTTAATCCAGGCCATCAAGTCTGCCGGAGGGGAAAGGGTGTTGCCCCATTCGCCCTCTCCTCTCTGGAAAGAAAGATGGCGGCCACATGGGAACCTTGTGGACAGCAGGTATGAGCCGGGAGTGTGGGGGCGACTAAAACCTCATGGGAAGGGGGGCGTGTCGGTCCGCCCTTCACACCCTACCGAGGCCACCAGTTGCCCCCCACGAGCGGCTCTCCAGCACGGCCACGACTCCAGAACACAGAAACCAATTTCTTAACTATCTGACTTTCAGTAGAAATACTTCCAGGGTCAATAGGTAAAATAACAGAAATCCAAAACCAACATTTAATTCTTGAACCCAGCTGTAGAAAGCAAATCACTTCACAATGCTTTTTCAGCATGTCTGATTTGGGGGGGGGGGCTAAACTCTAAATAATAGTGGTGAATCTTTTATTGAAACAATGAATCTAATCAAAGCAGATAGAGTGTTAACTAGAATTCATCTGCCTCACTGGGACGGGGAGGGGTGGGGGGTGGGGTTTTATTGGGGTTCTTCATAGTGAAAAATAAATATTGGTAAAGGGAAATGTGTTTGATATTTGCATGACTGAGACCTAAACCTGAAAGCTTTGTAACCTTTCCCACAGTGATTCAATAAATAAAAATAAAATAAAATAAAATAAATAAAAAAATAAATACATTAGGTAAGATATGAGAAGAAACATTCAGGGAAGGAAATATTCCATTCTGTCACATCAGCTCATCAGAATCAATAAAATGGTATCCATGGGAAAGAACAGGATGAAAGCAATAATTTATTATTGCTATAAATTCTTGATGTAAAGGATTGGGAAGCTTTTTATTTGTTTTTTTAACTGAATTTGGTACTGTGATTTGCAATATTCTCAATTATGATTTGCTGTGTACATAATTCTAACTCCACCCCACCATCAGTGTATTCACCTTGGATTTAGAAGTTTTCATATGACTAGGCATGAACTTTTTATGCCAATCAAGTCTATTATGTTTATTTATAAATTTTAATTATGTATAAAGTTAGATTATTTTGTCCATGGTTATCAATTATATTTAATTAATTTAGTTAAATTGAATCACTGTGAGATACACAAAGTTGTTCATGATTGGGTTTCAGTCATACAATGTTCCAATACCCTTCTCTTCATCAGTGTATGTATACCACCACCAATGTCCCCAGTTTCCCTCCTGCACTTCTTTCCATCTGCCTCTATAGAAGACACTTTTCTCCTCTCTTTTTCTATTTCTTTTTTAAAAAGTTTTTATATATATTTCATTTTCATAAAATACTTCACAATAGTTCATTACAGATAATATTCAAAGACCAATCCCACCACTGAGCACCTTTCCACCACAATAAGAGGGAAGTGTGAAGGTTGTTGTATTTAATTCTGGAGTCATTTAAGCCCATATATAAGAGAATACAAGGAAGTATGTTAAAACTAAATAAATGTGTGTTACTTTTGATACATAAGTGAGACAGAGTGTAAGAGGTTGTGTAATTTCGCTCCAGGAACTTCTGCATCATTCTGAAGCTTTAGGTTATAGTCTCTGGATCTTGGCCATTGATGGGATTACATGGCACTGTGGGGCAGTTAGTGGGTGTGACTGCCAAGCTACTGGAAAACTGGGGAGCCGGAGGGAGGAAGACCAGTCCTGGTATCGAGCAGACTGGGGATCTCAGTCACGGGTTCCCGCATACCTGGGTTTTTCTGCCGGCCTGATTTTGAGTGAGGTTCATCCTGTTCTTTCTCTTTCTATACCTCTCACACTCTCTCTTTCCGTTTGGGCATTCTGGTTTGCATAGATATTGAAAGGTTATCATGTATATCCCTTCACCTACTTTCAGCACTCAGTTCTTGTCCAGAGTGGTCATTCCATATATTATTGTCTTGTCATAATGGTCCCTTCCCTGTCCTAATTGCCCTTCACTCCCCACACTCTTGTGGCAAGTTCCCAACCATGGACTAGTTCTACTGGCCCCTTTTTTCTGTTCTTGGATATCAGTCTCATACTATTTTTTAATCAATTTTAAACTGCTATCCCATTATTTACCTAGTACCTGAACTGTAGCAACCATACTTATTTTTAACTGGGGCCAATCCCAGCAATAGTCAGGTGGTAGGATCATGTGGTGCTGGAGTCACTCTCAGGGCATCATGACCTCTACCACTTGGGCTATCTCTTCAGGCCAGAAACCACCATTTTAAAATAATTTAAAACCTTGCCTATATCACTTAAATGTATATAACAGTCAGTTTAGCTCTCATAATTATATAGGAAACAGGGAAGGGGGCATAAGCTTACCACAAGATCTTCACAACAGGCGGTTGATGAATCCTTCCTGGTCAATCCAAGGAACACATCTTCAGTTCCCACTTGTTGCTTAAATAAAATCTCATACCTGAAAAAAAATTACTGATACAGACTCCCAAATGAAACAACTATTTCTTGTCACAGATCAGAAAGTTGAAAACTTCTGAGGACATACTATTTCAAAACTAAAAGAAATAATTAAGTAGTTGTATTTTCTTCTTCATGTAGTGGAACATAAAGGAAGTGACGCCTTAGAAATTCAGTCAAAAGGAACTTTTATATTGACTATGGCTTTGTTTCTAAGTAAAAAATGAATTGCTATAACTTCTAATAAGATTACAAATAGAAGGGGGGAAATAGTTTCCTTCCCTGGAACACAATAATTCCAGAAGAATATTGGGGCTAACATGCAGGGTTTGATAAATGAAAAAAAAAGCCCTTCTGTTAAAGTCAAACTACAGAATAAAGTTAGAAAATCCACATTTATCTTTAACTATGTGATCTTGGTTAAATCACAAACTCACGGGATCTTGTGTTCAATGTTTGTACAATTTATGGGACAGGGTGAATTTGAACTAAAGGAACTCTATGAGTTTTATCTAGCTCCAGAATTCTATAGTATAAACACAGGCAGTGCAGTTAGCAAATGACACTATTGTGTTCAGAATCTAGTCCTATGGAATTCTTAGTTCAAAGAAGGATATTCTCAGGTATTTCACCTCGTGTAATTATTCACAAATCTTTCCTTGCATTCAAATCTGTGGGCAAGGAACACAGCAGTTTATAGAAGAGCCCACGTATAATGTGTCTCATCATTTTAGATGGAATATAATAAGCAGACATTTAAGAATAATCTTTTTAAATTTAATTCTACCCTAACTAATTAATGGTAAATACCTGGAGAGAATACTAAAGGATTAGATTTAACTTCTGACCTTTTGCAAATAGGAATGCCCAGGAATGTAAAGGGGATTTCTCTGAGTTTGAACAGAATTAACTACTAATAAGTATTTGTTTGAAAAGGGGCATTAATGGACTATAACTTCTACCATGTATTTACCAAGGCAAAACCAGGTTAAAGCAAAATAGAAAGGTTTTGTCCACCTATATGCCCATGACTCCCAAGTGAATTTGCACTAGCTTCTGCTGTTACCCTCATCTACAGTAGCAATTTCCCAAAATGCCTACTATATACATATATATAATATATGTATATATCTTTATCTAGTAGTTCCTAGATAGTCCATCCACCAAAAATAAAAGTCAGTACTTCCCTCTACAACTATGTTTCCAATTACACAGTTGTAAAGGGAATGGTTTTACTATTTATCCAGTCACTGTGGCTGGCAACCTAAGCGTCATCTGTTGGTTTTTGATCTTGAACTAGAGCTGGCAGTGAACAGGACTTATTCCTGGCTTGGTGATCAGGGATAACTCCTGGCTTCGCTCAGGGATCCTATGTGGTAATGGGATGTAGGATAATGGTTGGATTGCTCTTCCTCCCTGGCCACTGGAAGCTTATGTTTGTTGATTGCCCCCTCAACCTGTCAATTACCTTTGTCTCCTGATCAGACTCTGATTTGTAAATATTGTCTTTCTCTCCTCCTTAATGTCCTGTGCTGGGTTATTATTTCAGAGCAGTTGCTTTTTGTATGGATACAGGAAGACAGTTAAAAAGACAAGTCTGTGGCTTGGGAGTTGACTCCAGATAAATTACCTCTTGGACATCTGCTCTCTCGACTTTAGACTCAGTTACCCTTATTTGATAGATTCCCAAAAGCAGGGTCCCAATGAAGTACTGGATGGACCAGGGGTAAGTGTTGAGATATGAGCTACCCAGGCATTGAAATGAGCCTGACCAAAGTGCCCTAATGCTTAACTATAAGTTAAGAGCTTGGTCATGGACAAATTCTGTCATGAACCAAAAGTACTAACTAGATTTGGACCCTTCTGGAGTTATAAATGATAGATCCGGCCTGAGCACTGTAGTCTGAGTCTGTGGTAAGATGTCCCAAGGAGAGTCACCCTACAAGCCTAAAAGTGTCTATTACTGTGTCCATACAGAATGGTAAATATTAGGAGAATCAAAGGTGCTAATTAACTTGCAGGCAGAGTCTCCTGATTCGCTCCTGGCTGTCTTCACTGGGGCCCCTCGTAGGGGGGTGGGTCAAGTTTTCATCCCCACTCCAAGCAGAACCCCAGTAGCTGAAGACCCCTGGAACCCAGTCACAGCATGCTCAAGGCCACTCTCCACACGCTCGGATGAGCTTCACGCATGAAGGAAACGGCAAAGGAACCCAGGTGTGTGGGACCCGTAGTTGAGATCTCCAAGCCTGCTCAGATCGGGACTGGGCCTCCTCCACCTAGATCCCCCATTTTCCAGTAGCTAGGCAGTCACAGCCACAAACTGCCCCCGGTGCCAGGCAATCCCATCAACGGCCAAAATCCAGAGACTATAAAACAAAGCTCCTGGAAGCGTGTGGCCGCGTTCATGGCTGTGCAACCTCTTGTTGTCTAGTTCTCCCTCTCGAAGAACCCGGCAAGCTACTGAGAGTATCCTGCCCACATGGCAGAGCCTGGCATGCTCCCCATGACATATTCGATAAGCCAAAAACAGTAACAATAATGGGTCTCGTTCCCCTGACCCTGAAAGAACCTCCAATGCGGCACTATAGGGAAGGACGAGTAAAGAGAATCTGCTAAAATCCCAGGACAAAATGGAGACATTACTGGCACCCGCTCAAGCAAATCGATGAACAATGGGATGACAGTGATACAGTGAATTAAGTTGCAGGTCCAAGGAGAGGAGAAACACAACTAAAGGCTGTTTTGCCCTCATGGGCTGCAGGTGGTCGAGAAGTCTGGAAAGAATGATAAATTCTGCTGATAGAGATACAATACTGCAAGCAGCAAGGTCAAAGAAGGAAATCACATACAAAGGAGCATCCCTTAGATTCACAGCAGACCTATCAGAGGAAACCCTCCAAGCCCGAAGGCAATGGCGGGATATAGTGAAAAAACTCACTGAAATGAATGCTTCACCAAAAATACTCTATCCAGCTAAATGCTTACTCAAAATCGAAGGAACAGTACATTATTTCTAGATAAACAGCAGCTCAGGAACTTCATAGACTCAAAATCAAACCTAAAACAAGGGCTAGAGGGGCTACAATAAGATAAGACAAACCCTACAAGCACAACAGCCCCTTATAGAAATATGACACAAAACCCCATAACAATAATCTCTCTCAAGGTCAATGGTCTAAATTCACCATTTAAGAAACCAATGAAACCAAGAGCTGGTTATTTGAGAAAATAAACAAGATAGATAAACCACTAGCAAGACTCACAAAGAAAGAGAGATAAACCACTAGCAACACTCACAAAGAAACAGAGAGAGAGAACCCTAATAAATCGAATCAGAAATAAGAATGGGGATATTACAACAGAAACCAAAGAAATTCAAAGGATCATCAGAGACTACTTGAAAGTCTGTATGCCATGAAACAAGAGAACCTAGAAGAAATGGATAAATTCCTGAATTCCTATAATCTCCCAAAGCTGAATCAAGAAGACATAGAGTACCTCAATAGACCTATCAACATCAAGGAAATTGAAACTGTAATCAAAAGTCTTCCCCCAAACAAAAGCCCAGGTCCAGATGGATTCACTAGAGAATTTTTCCAAACATTTAAAGAGGACATATTGCCAGTTCTTCTCAAGCTTTTCCAGGAAATTGAAAAAACAGAAACTCTCCCAAACCGTTTCTATGAAGCCTATATCTCCCTAATACCAAAAGGAAACAAAGACACCACAAGAAAAGAAAATTACAGGCCAATATCCCTGATGAACATGGATGCGAAGATTCTCAACAAAATACTAGCAAGTAGAATTCAACAACTCATCAAAAAGATCATACACCATGACCAAGGGGATACAAGGATGGTTTAATATTCGGAAATCAATCAACATAATCCATGATATGAACAAAAGAAAAGATAAAAATCATATAATAATATCAATAGATGCAGTGAAAGCATTTGCAAGATTCAGCAACCATTTATGATTAAAACCCTCGCCAAAATGGGGATAGAGGGGACTTTTCTCAATATAGTTAAAGCTATCTTCCACAAGCCTACAGCAAGCATCATCCTCAATGGGGAAAAACTGAGAGCCTTCCCCCTAAGATCAGGAATAAGACAAGGATGCCCACTCTCTCCACTACTGTTCATTATAGTAGTGGAAGTGCTTGCAATAGCGATTAGGCAAGAAAAAGATATTAAGGACATTCCGGTAGGAAAGGAAGAAATCAAACTCTCACTATTCGCAGATGATATACTATACTTAGAGAACCCTAAAACCTCTACCAAGAAATTCCTAGAAACAATAGACTTGTATAGCAAAGTTGCAGGTTATAAAATCAATACCCAAAAGTCCATGCCTTGGCTATGCGCAGTGAGAGAGAAGAAAATGACATGAAGAAAACAATCCCGTTCACAATTGTGCCCCAGAAAATCAAGTACCTAGGAATCAACTTAACTAAGGAAGTAAAGGACCTGTACAAAGAAAACTACAAAACGCTACTTCAGGAAATAAAAGAGGACAAGAGGAAATGGAAAAATATCCCCTGTTCATGGATCGGGAGAATTAACATTGTCAAAATGGCAATACTTCCCAAAGCACTGTACAAATTCAATGCGATCCCTATTACGATACCCATGACATCCTGCAAAGAAATGGATCAAACACTCCTGAAATTCATATGGAACAATCAGCCCCCATAAATAGCTAAAGCAATCCTTGGGAAAAAGAAAATGGGAGGAATCAACCTCCCTAACTTCAAACTCTACTACAAGGCAGTAATAATTAAAACAGCATGGTACTGGAGCAAAGGCAGAGCTGTAGACCAATGGAACAGGGTTGAATATACTGACATCTCCCCTCAAGCATACAATTATCTAATCTTCGATAAGGGGGCAAGAAAAGTGAAGTGGAGCAAGGGAAGCCGCTTTAACAAATTGTGCTGGCAAAACGGGATGGCTACATGCAATACAGTGGGCTCAGATCTCTGCCTAACACCATGTACAA